TTTTCGCGATAATTTTTTTTTTTTTTTTTTTTTACCTACGGTTACAGAGCGGATTATTTTTTTATACGGGAAATCGCATTTGCGAGATATCGATCGATTGAAAGGATTATTATTATTATTGTTTTTCTTTTCTTTTTCTTTTTTTTTTTAAATCGGCACAAACTTTACCCCCAATACCATCTAGCGGGGGAAAATTAAAAACTGGTGAAAAGTTTTTACCGACGATCGTGCCGATAAAACAGTTTCGAGCGCGTTCGTGGCTGTAATTTTGAAATGAATTATATACAAAAAGTTGGAACTTTTTTATGATAATATTAAATCACGTTGTATATTCGATGCGGCTTGTTTACGAGAAGTGAAAAAATTTGTTTGTTTTATTTTTTTAATTAAAATCGTACGAAGTTATTATATCGATCTACGGAAAGATCGCAAGCTACGTATTAGAGTGTAGATATTTTTCGATATTTTTCTAGGTATTTTGATAAATATAAAAATGACAGTAGTTGCCTGCAGGAACGTCGAAGAATAAGAAGAATAAAAAGAAGAAGAAGAAGAAGAAGAAGACGATGGAGTACGCATCCGGCTTGAGCCAATAAATTTTTCACATGACCTGTACCAATAATGCGAGATAGCGGGAGTAAAAGAGAGGCATCGACGCGATCCTGAAACAACTATACTTATCGAAGATCGTGCCTCGCAGGCTCCGAAGGAGGAAGGCGCGCGTTTTCAGTCTCGCTTCTGTAATTACGATCTTCTTCCTCGTGGTACACACGCGGAACGCGAGCGTGCGCACATTCTGCCTCCCTTATTCCGCTTTTACTTTCGTACATTCTTCGATCGCTCTATGTATTTTGTAAAAAGAAAAAGAAACAAAAAGAAAACGAAGAAAAAGAAGAAGAAGAAGATGATGATTTTTTCTTAATATTATCGATAACAAAAATATTTCCGTAAACGATATTATAATAATAATTTTAATACACATACCATAATACCACTAAAGAATACGAATATCGATAAATCTAGAAATAAATAATAAAATGTTTAAGACCATCTAACAAAAGTAACATTGGTATTTCCTCTTAATAATACAAACCATAACATAACAGATTCTCGCACAATTTACACATAGAACTATAATTCCTTCACGATAAATTCATTCTATCTTTTAACTCGATCCGACCTAAGACGAATCAATTCTATTTAGAGTTTCGATATCTCTAAGATATTTAAAAGCAAAAGAATACAAATGTTAATAGAAAAAAAATAGGATGAAACTGAAGGACCTGGAGCAACCCATCCACCACCACGACTACCCCACCCCCTCATCGTAGTTTGTAGTCTTTTCACGCTGATGTAAAGTGTAGTAGCGTTGTACTGTAGGCTATACCGGTTGGCAACATAACGTCGATCGTGATAAAAGCATCGGACAATAATAAACAATGCGTGAAACGACAAGTACAGTCGTCCGTAGGTATGGCGTCCATGGCAAGGCATTTCGCGAGAGATCCTATCGTTCGTTCGTTCGTTGGTTGGTTCGTTCGCGGACTCTGTGGCGGTAGCAACACCAGAGCGCAATCAATCATTCGAACCGGATAAAATATAAAATACGGTGCCACGGCCCCGATGTGTTTGCCGTTTTATTTATTTGCACGGTCATGCAAGCTACGCGGAATTAACGTATTTTTTGCACGCGACCACAACACCAGGATACGGAACGAGCGCGCCTCCGAGCTTTATTATCGTCGCGAACATTACGCGAGAAATACGGACGATGAATTTAATGCATTTTAGAGAAAGAGAAGAAGAGAGAGGGAAGAAGTTAGCAAACGATCAAGATTAAATATAAGTTCCTTCTATTAGATTGTTCAAAAAATGTATATTCCGTTTTCTTTTTCTTTTTTTCTTCTCTCTCCCCCAATGGCATATAATAAAATGATTTCTTCATATTCAAAATCTACAAGGACGTTTTACATGATTGACGACCACCAATCGGCAATTAGGTTATCCGTACAAATTATTAACGCTATTGATATTATTATTAATATATTCAATAAATCGTTCTCTCCAAATTGATACGCGAACTTTCCGGTAAACCTATAAAGTATAATCCATTCTATAAATGAATATAATTATAAACCCCTGTATAAAGTTTCTCTGAATAATAATTGCATGATGAAGTTTAATTTGTTGACTCCTGTGCTGTTAAATGATATTATATTTAAAAAATAGTGATTTAGTTAATGAAGAATGGAGTGAATGACGTTAGTCTCGATCGAGATGAACGTTGTCTCCGTGTTAATCTTTGCTCCACTTTCATCATATAAGAAAGATCTACTCCCTTTTCGAATCGAGTTCGTAAAGTAGCATCCGAAAAGTCAAGAGAGAGAGAAAGAAAGAGATAGAAAGAGAGAAAAAGAGAAATAGACTGTGATGGATGGTACGCGGGTTCTAACATATCTTGTATCGCACTATCGCTTCTACCGCTTGTGCTTATTAAACTGTTCGGTATTTCTCGTCGACGTGCAACAAGGCATGCTTGCTTCCTTGCTTCCTTGCACGAAGAAGATGCGGAAGAAGAAAGATGAAAGATGAAAGATGAAAGAAAAAGAAAAATAAGAATATGAAGAAGAAGGAGATGAAGATGGAGAAGATGAAGAGGAAGAGGAAAAGTAGAAGAATATGAAGAAGAGGTACGAGACAGGAACGACGAAGAAGATCGATGCACCGTTCCCAGCTACCTTCGAAACTTTTAATAAGTGTCATCGACTACCGTGGTAGCATTGGACGCTTCGTTATAAATCGCTACCGTTTTTTCTACCTCCAAAGAATATCCTTTTCTTCGTTTTTTTTTTTTTTTTTAAACTACTTTTCTTCCATTTCTTTTCTTTCTTTTTTTCTTGTTGTTTTTTTTTGTAACCCCTTTCACGTCAAAATCGATACGCATCTAATTTTTTTACTCCTCGCCTATTATTCAACCATTTTAGTTTGTTTTTCTTCGAGAGAATGATCGTGATCATTGTAAGGATGTAAGAATAGAAGTAAATAATCCAAAATATCTGACTCTAAACCAATGGAATGTCTATTGTTGTTTGTAAAGATTTCTAGGGAACACCCGGTACAGGAAAAAGGGATGCTGAGAAAGACGGTCTTCTTCCTTCTGCTCTTAGAACGGCAACGGATCGCTACGTTATTATTTTCGCCAGTTATCGAATTAGATGTTGGCTTAACGGGTACGTACAAGGTACTCCCTATATATGTGTGTATATATATATATATACATATATGTATTATATGTATATATATATATAAACTCATGGCACATAGGCGTATATACTATATTTACTTTATAAGAGTTCTTTGCCCAAGGGGGCCAGATTGCAAACGATCTATACAATGTACAAATATATATATATATATACATACATACATAACATATGCATATACATTATATGTAGGTAATAAGTATAGTAGAGTACTTTTTACCGATATCAATTTTTTGTATCGACATTTCCATATGGTAACTTATCCTATGATAAAGTAAACTTCCAATGTAAAGTAAAGTTCCACACACAGATGGCGCGATTAATTAATTTCCGGTATATTTCGATTAATCGAAAAAATATCATACGAATTTTAAATGAGAACACTCGGATAAAGTAGAGTTATGTTTGAAAAGATTGAAGAAAAGCTATAAAGTTATAAATCGATCAAGAAAATATAATCGCGTTTACGTTAGACGCCCATGGATCTTTCCCTAGATTTTCTCTCTCACTCTATCTCTTTTTCGTTCGTTCTAACATCGAACGTTGTTGAATCGATGCGTTGAGAAAGGAAGAGAGAAGAGCATCCTCTCTAAGATTATGGCTTATTCGTTACTACCTACAACGTACTTACGTTACTTTTAGAACTGCTTATTACTGTGATTACCTGCGCATAATACAACGGACCGAGCGTTCTACAATTTATTATTGAATTGCTATAATGCGCTTCGTATCGTCATATTCCTCCACGTTCTGTATATATACATATACACATGTACTATATACGTGTGTAGAATTATATATGTATGTATATGTATATACGTATAACGCGAAACGATCAACGGTCTATCCAAAGATACAAAACTATCACCTTTTTTTTCAAAATAGAATATTGAAAAAATTAATAATAAATAACTTACAATTTTCACAGTTGTACGTACATAAATGGTTAATATCTCGAAGTAAATTCAAAGATAGGCCTGATCCGCTAGGCACCCAGAAGAATTCCTTTTCTTTTTCGATGATAATCTCACAATGGTCATAATTAAACTATAATTAAAGAGAAAAATAAAAATTATTTAAATTATTCTTTTAAAATCTATTTCTTTTGCAATAGGTATAAAGATCAACGATCAAATGTTTTGATACTCATCTTACATATTTGTTATAAAATAACTTATATTTTATATTAATATTGAAGTAAAATGATAAAGAAAGTTTGTAAGATAATGTTTTGCTTACCATTATGATATTAAACTTAATTTTTACACAAATTTGTCCACAACGAAACCGACTCAAATCTGATTAACCGAAGGACCTGTGTGAACTAAGCCATTAATTCCGAAATTTCGATAATAAGAATAATATCGAAATTATATTGCGACTTCCTATTGGAGGATGATCGTGATTGGCACATTAAAATTATTAAAAAACGCGTATGCTGATTGGATCTCGTCATTATAATATGAATAATTAAATATTTGAATTTAAATAATACTATTATGTGCTAATAAATTTTTTAATATGGTTAAAAATTAAAAAAAATAATTATGTTATATCTCAAAGATGTGTGTGTTTAACTTTATTAATAATATTGTTAATTAATTAAAATTAATTTAAATAATATTTCGCGTTGATCAGGAATAAATTATAATATTTAAATAATAATACATTTGTTTAAATAATAGATCGTCTAAAACGAGTTGCAATTTTGAAATAATTAATATTCGTATTTTAATAATAGTAAGTTTTAAATTCAAATTAGGAAGTGGCATCACTGCTACATATAACATGAAAGACTTTGAGAGATAATATTTTAATATTCTTTTTGAATGCAACAAATAAATATCAAGATTTTTTATAATTGTTCACACATATAATTATTACAAAAAGTTATAATTATGAATCACGTGATTACATAGGTAAATATATTGTTCTATTATGAAATTCATTTGTAGGTTAGAAAACAGTATATAAAAAATAAAAAATATTTTTGTTTGCAGGTATTTTTTCACACCAAATGTAAAAGTGATTAATAATTTGATATGTAACTATTGAACAAACAATAATATATTGTTATTAATGTTATGTTATTGATTTGTCAATAAATCAAGTCAAAATGCAAAGAAATTTGGGAATTCCGCATAGTTACACTTTAGATTCATCAATGGCAATTAAATTGGTCATAGGTCAGAACAACAATTATCCAGAACAAATGCTAATAGAAAGTCTAAATATATGGCATGAGTTTAAAATAATTAGAGGTGCACAGTACAACAAGGAAGACGTATTAAAAGCTATATTAAATTCTGTAGAACCGGCATACTTGTTACCAGTGAAATATCAAGTGCGAGGAGAAGATTCATATTTTATAGCCAGCAATTGTGGCCCTGCTATTGAAAGCTTATGCAGATCTAGTTTAATTGTTAAAAATCCACACGGTAATCCTCTGATTTTAACAATTGTCTTGGGCTTTGCCTCGGTTTCTGATTTAACCATTAACATTCAACCGCTTATTTTAAATACTTTGACAAAAAGGTATGATTTTAATAAGAAATTATTAGATTTAGAAGCATTTCATAAGGATGCAGATTTATATAAAACTATTTACTGTCCTTTGTCGCATCCAACTAATTTGGAACACATATTAAAAGTTGCTAAAAGTACGGTGGCTGCAATTGAATATATAAATTTAAAGCATAATGAATTATGTATATTGGACGCTATAAAATGTTTAGACTCAAATTCTTTGAAATATTTAGATTTAAGATACAATAGTTTATTAAATATGAAAGATCTTGAGATCTTACAAAATTTAATGATTAGGAAACTTTGGTTAGATGGTAATCCACTATGTGAAAATTATTCTAGTGCTAAACAATATATAAACTCTGCGATGATATATTGCCCGCATATAATTCAGTTGGACGGTGCAGCTGTATATAATTCTACTTTTCCAATAACGCATTATGAGTACTTCAAGAATGGTTCAAGACGTGAACTTGTATATCAATTCATTAGACATTATTTTAATTTATTTGATCAAGAAGATAGAAAGATTTTAAGAGGATTGTATGATAAACACGCACTTTACTCTTTAAGTTGCAATATTCCATTTTCTATTGCTCATAAGAAAAATTTAGTGCAATATACTAAAAGTAGAAATCTTTTAAAAGTAACAAATTCAAATAAAAGGCGTAAATTTTTATACTATGGAGAAACTGATATATTGAATACTATCAACGCATTACCAAGAACTTGTCATTACCAAAACTCATTTCAATATGATCTGATGTACGATGATAATGAACGTTTAATGATATGTGTTACCGGATTATTTATGAATAAAAATAGCAATAATCAAATACTATCGTTCAATAGAACTTTTGTTTTATGGACTGGTCCTGATAACGAATATACTATTATAAATGATCAGTCATGCATTAACGATACTCCAGAAAACGAAACTTTAATTAATACAATTATTGCATTAAATGATACAGATAGTACTTCACATGACAAGGATTTTGTACCAGAATGTTTTAGCCCAAAAGAGAGATATGAACTAATAACAGAATTAGAACAAATAAGTAAATTAAAGAAAGAGTGGTGTCAAACGTATTTGTATAAGACACACTGGAATTTGCGACAAAGTATTCAAACTTTTATGAGAGATTTTAAAAACAACACTCTACCGCCAGAAGCTTTTAATATTTAAAATATAAATTCTCGCTACATGAAAAACACATATATTTGTAAATTTTGTATATAAAAACAATTCTCTGTGCTTTTATATCATTCTTTATTAATTTGTAAAAGAATATTTTTCTAAATCTCAAATTAAATGTTATTTTTCATATTATAGGAAGTACCATTTTTTATCCTACGAGAGCCACTAAACAAACAATGCCGTTACATTAATAAGTAGTAATACTAATTATCATTAATTAAATATTAGGTTAGCCTATTTGAAGGTACATAAATGATACATTCTCCAATACATTATCAAATATATTATTAACATTTGAAAAACCTTCATTAATCACCTTTTGTAGGTTTCCATCATTACCGACCGAATACAAGAAGTATTAAATTCTAGCACAAAAAAGTTGGCAAAGAACCGCAACAGCAGAAAAGAAATGAACAAGTGCTCTTAATTGTTCAGTAATTGTTTAATCAAAATCCATAATTGCTCACTTTATTAATTAATTATTTAATTAGAATAATTAATATATACTAATAATTATTTACTTATAATTAAAGAATAGTGTATTCTTTGATAGTAAATAATAGTATATGATATATTCTCTTTGATAGTATAAATAGTATAGTTATATTGTAAGAAAATTGTAAATAATTATATTTAATTTTTAGTGTACCTAAATATGTGTGTGCCTTCAGAAATCCGATTTTTATACATATATATTGTAAAAATTAGAAGAAAATCAAAACGAGTAGATGATAAATCCAACGATGATCACCTGTAACAAAAAGAAAACTATATTAGTCATACAGTCAAAAGTGATACAACTGCCTGACAATAATCGTCCAATTCACAGATGCAGTTACTAAAAAATAAAGTATCTATTGATTACTGTGAAATACTTTTAAACTGCATTATATAAAAAAGAAAAAATGCAAATTTAATAAAATACGAACACAGTGAAAAATTTAAAAGACAAAATAAGAAAAGAGAAATTACTGTAATATAATATATACATAATATAATGTAATATAATATATAATAGAACTATTTAATAGTTCTCTCCTTTCTATTTTATTATATAATTATTAACAGATGGTACATTTAAATCTTACTGTAAATGGATCAAAAACTTTCGATATTCGATAATTGAAATCATTGACTATCGATAAGTTCAGGTTTTCGAAAAATTCGACACTCGAATAATTTTGTAAAATATTGTCTTCTAATATATTTTGGAAATATTTTGTAGTTTTATTCAAAAATGAATAAGAGCAATAGTAAAACGGGAAGTAAATATAGAGTTAATCGTCCTCAACGTCTACGCCATGAAGATTTGAGTCAAACAAATTCTGGTTCGTAAAATTTAAATTTATATTCGTTTGAATATTCGCATTTTTCTTTTTTTACGTTTAAACGAAGAAATATTATTAATAAATAAATTCTTAATAGTACAACAAACTACGCAGACGACGACAAAGATTATTAAAGAAGAAAATGTTAGTATTTATAAAAATTTAATGAAATTCCAAATATACGAAATTAACAAGCAATGCAATATTCTAATATATTTTAATATTTGCATTAGAATCCAATAGAAACACCTGCTAGTACGTTGAAAATGGATTATTTAACTGATAGGAGAATATCGCAAGCTGAAATTGACAGACGTTATACTTGGCTGCAACAAGCAAGAATGAGCATTTCATCTACAAAAGATCGTTGTCGTATCATTCATGAGGTTTATTTCCAGAAATATTCAAACTTTCTAATTTTGTAGCTATTTTATTAACATAGGAATATATTGAATTGTTAGGTTCGGTTTCCTGATACTTTTAATGGTCTGTACAGTGTACGTTTTTCTGCTGATGGTGAAGTCATGGTTACGTGTTTTGGAACAGGCGGTATTCAAGTATATAATATTATCTATTAATATTTTAAATATTCTATAATAAATTAGCCAATAATTATATAATGTCAGAACTTTTAATTAAAAAAATACTGGTGCTTAATTTATTTAGATATAAATCATCAAACATTTTCAATTATAAAAATATTGAATTTTACTCTTTAGATTCGTAGCGGCGAAACTGCACAGTTAAAAGCAACATTGAGAAGCGGAATGGAAACTTCGTTTCCAGTTATGTGTTGTAGATTTCATCCTTTAAAAAAGAATACGTTCTATACGTCTAGCGCATGCGGTAATATTTTCCAATGTACTACGGACAAAAATGAATTAATCAAATTTATTTCAGGTTTAGTTTATCTTTTAATTGTCGAATTTAACAGTAGCATACATTTTCATTTAAAATTCATAATACTAATCAATTAATTTAGAACCGAAAAACGAAATTAATACTATAGACGTTAGCGTAGATGGAAATTATTTGGTTACTGGTGGCAAAGATGCAGCCGTTAGAATTTACGATTCCGAAATCGGCAAAGTAAATTCAATTTCATTCCTCCCATTTTTCCATTTTATCTTTCACTCTATGTAAAAACACTTTAATTGAATAGTACAAATTGTATTTAGCTAGTACTGACGTATCAAAAAACAGACGCTGATATGCTGCATGAAAAAGTCACGAGATTTCATCGCATGAGAATATTCGCTGCGAGGTTTCACAATATTTATTCGGATTTGATTATTACCGGAGGCTGGGACGATACAGTTAGAGTAAATTTCAAATTCACTGCCTAGTACCTACACGTCTCTTTCAAGCTATCTCAACTCAATTGGAATATTTTTTATTAAATTATTTTATTTTTAGATTTGGGATATCAGAGACGGTGGTGGATCCATTAGAACGATCAAAGGGCCTCACATTTGTGGCGACGCTATTGATTTACGAGTAATATTGTTTTTCTCACATTGTATAACAATTTGATACCATTTGTATTTGTACGTATTTGAAAATTCAATTTTATTTGAGGAATCACACATTTTGACGGGTTCTTGGGTCGTTCGTGAAAGTCTTCAAATTTGGGACTTGATGAGTGCTAAATTAATCAAGACAATTAAACCACGAAACAGACCAACTACCTTAGAAGGAGAATTCCTTTATACAGTTCAGTATTTTGATGGAGATCCTTATGGGGATCATATACTTGCTGGTGGTTCTGGTACCGGTGCTGTTGAAATAATCAGTATAAAGGAACAAAAGGTTGTCAATTACCTTTCACAGTTCATATTTAAGTCACTTTATTATCTAACCTTTTCGAGCAGGTAATGGGTAGTTTCAACGTAAATAAACCGGTTGTTGCGTTGGACAGTAATGGAACTACAATAGTCTACGGTGGTATGGAGTCTGTAATTAGGCTTGGTAATTATAGTTAAGAAGAAAATTTTAACTAATTTTAATATTACATCTTTTTTATTCGTTTATGATTATTTTACAGCTTATTTAATAATGTATCAATGTGTTAGTTCTAATTTTTTACATGTATAGAGAAGTACGACAGTTTGTTTAATATAATTTAGGTCGAATAACATTTGATTTATACATTTAATTTCGTTTATTACTCATTCTTTTTCTTTGCTTAAAATTTCTCTAGTTTTCTTTCGTGGCCCGTAATATATTTCTTTTTTTCTATATATAGTATATAATTTTTAAAATAAGAGATTGATAAATATTTATGAATATAGTTTTATATATTAACTTGTTGCACCGCGTGTAAGGTGGTTCGATGTGCTCTGTAGAGTTGCGGTACGATGCACCTCGTTACACAGATAGGCCATGTATAAAGTGACGATCATTGATGATTTTATATATATGTATATATATACGCTTATATACCATATAGTTTTATATTTAAAAATATAAAATATAAGAAATAATTCAATGCGAATAAAAGTAAAAATTATACCATCATTATTCTTACAACAATTAAAAAAATAATGGGACATTCTAAAATTATCCTGCTAATCGTGACTTTTTTTCCGGAGGCTTATTTACGTTTAGATTTTAGTCATAATGCGTTACCTGGATGTAATCTACAATTGCAATTACCGTTGCATTCTTAGTGACGCGATGTTATTACCCGTTACAGTCATAATTATAAGGTTGGAAGAAATGGCTAAGTTGAGACAACACAATCAACACAATGTTCAAAACATATCAAACGTGACGTCAACTTGTGTTAAATGATAAATATTATCAACGTTAGTTTTTCCTTTATACGTCTCTATACTCATTTTTTTCATCGTTAAGTATTTTCGATACCTTTTGTATTTTTGTTCTAATTACCCACATTGACGAGAGTGCGCGTAAAACACTTTACGCTTGCTGATCATGAGAGTGTACCGTTATCACTTACCTAAACTTTCATTTTAGAGATACATAGTACGTATTTCAAATACATTTACTTCTATTTGCATATTTAAAGAACCATATCTTTATTAAACACACGTATATATGTGCGTATATCATTTTATTTTTTTATGCTAATATATCTTCTTTATTATCTTTGGAACAAACAGTATTGCATTCTCACGCTGATCTTATAAATCGATTCTATGAATTAACGGAGCAAATCCGGTCGGTTGATAGACATTTACAATGCGTTTCTTGAACTTAAGTATCGTGAGATAATCATGCATTTAAGTATTTTTTATTCAATACAAGAAGATTCCAAAGTACATTATATTTAATATGAAAATTTGCATCTATATCTTTGTTCTCGGAGAAAGTTAATTAAAGAATAAAAAAAAAGGGAAAAAGAAAGGACATGAAAATAAAACCGCGAGATCATTTTTCAAATTTAATAAGCTTGTCATCTGGTATGTAATACATAATTCTGATCTTTCGGGTTACTGGAACAAAAATTGTTTCTCGTAGGTACATTATACGAAGAAAAGAAAAGAAAAGAAAAGAAGAAAAGAAAAAAATAAGAAATAAGATTACCTTCGACCTCGAGCTCGTCAAGATGAAAAAAAATGAATGTACGAAACGGACATCATCTAAGAGAATGAAGCTTAGATCTCTTTCTCCTTCTTTATGGAACTCACAACGAAAGTATAACAGTAGGTTTCTCAAAGCATCAGTTAGGCGCTCCCTGTTCGGTACGCTGGAGATGAACAGAGAGTTCATCCGATATATGCAGACGTACTAAATCAGTCGAAGTAGTTTAACAAAACGCTTTGCTCTACACTCTCGGCAACTCTCTGAGTGATTTTAGTGGAAGGATACCAATTTTTATCGATCATCATTCACGAAAAATCGAACGAATCTTTTCTATGAGTTATCACTAACAATAAAGAAGAAGAGAAATGTTTTATCAAACCTATTTGTTCTAAAGAAAAATCTAATCTCTTCGAATCAAGTATTCGCACGAGTAGTCAATGTGATTCAAGTATTATATCGAACATTAAATGATATTTAAAAACATGTTATCGGTGTGTATCTCGTTAAGAAATCATTTGACAAGTTTTAAAGTGTTGTATACTTCGTTTTAATTGAAATAAGTTTATTGTTCGTTTTAATGATGATCTTATGAAAGAATGAGGGATCGTGTTATCGAATTATGTATTATGATTATAATCGTATCTCGTGAAATGCCGAAAAAATTCGAAGGGATTCGTAGATGACACGAAATTGTTTTTATTTTCTTCATTGATTAAAAACGTGTCTGATGCATCCGATAGAAATTGATGTATCCTTCAACGCGATAGCTAAGCGATTCGCTTGCAAGCGTAGAAGTATTGTACCTTTAACTTTAAAATTAATTCTATTTATTAGTATATTTTATTGCGGAGTTCGAGGTACGTATACAGTTATTAATACAATGTTTTATTGTAAATTAATAAACTTTTCTTTTTATAAGACAATTCGATGTAAAGTGATACGCACATTTGGTTTGGAAATTTTGTAAAATTGTAGAACTATAATTGGAAATTCTTTGAACGAGCTCTGATTACTTCTATACCTTTACAGATTTCGAACGCATTACTCACGCGATGCGATTCTTTTGATATTCTTTTAAAGAGTTGCACGAAAGCGTAAAATATTAGAGACTGAAAGTAAATTATAGTAAAATACACGATAGAAATATAATTTAATATATGTCATTTTTCAATGAATGATTGTAATTAATGTATACATTTTTTTTTTAAGTAATAATAATTGATTTGTTTCGCAGCAAATGTAACGCCATATACGATAAAAAAAACGGGCCATGGCTTAATTCATAGAGTTCATCGCGATGATTCGAATATCAAAGAATCAGTCATAAAACATGCTGAAAATTTAGAAAATTTTAAATATTCGAAAAATACAAATGTAAGTGTACAATTTGATTTATCAACGCTTACCAATGCTACCAAGAATATTACAAAAGCTCATAAAACGATGTGAGTATATTGTTTTCAATAACAAACAAAAATAAATTTATTATTTAAATATATATACAATTAATTAATAAATAAAATACATGGTTGTAATTAAAAGTGATGGAGGTGAACCTACTAATCATACAAGATTTAAAAGAGGCGTCATTCATCTTTACAATATGGTAGTGTGTGCGACAGGATGTAATCCTCTGGCGTATAAAGGATATGGTTGTTACTGTGGTTTCTTAGGATCTGGATATGTCATTGATGGAATTGATCGGTAAACCCTTCATTTTGTAATAAATAAATCAAAGTAATGTTGTTTTTCTAAAATGAAAAATAATTATTTTTAGTTGTTGTAAAATGCATGATTGGTGCTATGATGCCACAGAATGTCCAATATTTATGGAATATATAGCACCCTATTATTGGAGATGTTATCATGGTCATAAACCTGTATGTGGTAGGTAGATCATTAACTGTTATAAGTTACAATTAGTAAAAATATGCTGTGTAACGAAACAGATAATGATTCTTTGATTTATAGCCGTTGAACATGGTAAATGGGGAGGATCGGGTTCGTGTGCTCAACGTTTGTGCGAGTGTGACAGAACTTTAGCTGAATGTTTGCGTCGTTATCCTTGTCCAACTACAAAAGCTGTTTGTACTTCATCACCCTGGAGATTAGTACAAAATCTTTTCATGATTATGTAGTTTCACGTACCATGTCAATTTTAGGTATACCAAAGATATAAAATGTATATATTTTATAATGCAGATAAATAGTTCTCTATAATATATTTACAGATTGCGCATCTCTTAAACAGCTGATCGTTTTATACCTCAGGAATTTATATTACAAAAATATAAAGTATAACTTTGTTTTAGTTACTCTTAATTCAAGAGTTTAACAGATGTTAATGAAGAATAACTCTGTATATTATTTTTTGTAATTTTTATATATACTTTTAATTATTAATATTATTATTACAAGATAGGACCTCCTCTGATATGCACAATTCTATTTTGATATTTTTTTGAAATATCTTTTTCTATCTGTAAGAATATAAGAAGATTTGAATGTTACTTATCATAGCGTATTTATTAAAGATATTATCTTAGTTATTAATAATTTCAAATGGTACCTCAGTCTGTAATTCTTTCATTCTTTGTACAGCATGATTTAATACAGGCTGTAAATTTATTATACGTTCTTCCGCTTCTTTCTTCTTTTGTGCAGAAGTTTCTTGATACTTTAACATTCTCTCAACTACAGCTAATTTTTGTTGCAAAGATAACGTTAATGTATCCGCGTAACTGCAAGCAATATTTAGCATTTATACAGTGAGAAAGAAGTAAAGGAAAATATTATTTACCTTGGAAGATTTCTGATAGAATATAAGTGTTGATATTTACTGTCGGACATGTTAGAAATAATACTTTGAATTTCGTGCAACATACTTTGTACGCTTTGCAAATTAGAAAGTTGTACAATTTCTGATGTCTCTTGTATGTGACTGAAGGCCATCAAATCTTCTTTATTTTCTTGAAATTCATACTTACGCATTTTTAAAAATGCTTCCAGCTAGGGATTAATATATGTTTAGAATTTTTTATTAAAATAATTATCAATCTTGGTGAAGTGAATTAGCTATTTATATCTTACTTCGAATAAATCATTCATAAAGTCTATCATTGTTTGATGTTCTAAAATAGTCGGAGCGGGAAAATCTACCACTAATTCGTCTTGCAAACATATTATATCTGTACAAGAATTCTCACACTTGATATTTTCCATATAAGCATCATCGTTTTCTATTGTTATATCATAAGTTTCTTCCATTTGTTTTTCATTACCGTCTTCCACAACAACGATGTCGAAATCAGAACTAGACATTAATTGTTGTGACGAATCTTCTAGCAAAAATTCTGTCACCATAGTATTTCCTTTTTCTATAAAACAATTTAATATTTGACTTAATATTTATAATACAGTATATATATACTTTTTAAATTTATATCAAAATTATCTTGGCATACCTATCACATGTTTTAAACATTTCAAACTATCTTCATTAATTTCTTTTCCACTAGTAAATTTCACATATGCTTCGTAAAAATTAATAATGTCGTCCAAAGATTTAGCTCTCTCCGCTATTTTAGAACAAATTTTTGGTAATTCAGTTTTAGCAGTTTCACATAATTCAACTCGAATATTTTTTCCAGGTATATTTAATTGTTTACAGAGAGCATCGAATTCAGCTTTCGCCGTTCTCTCCGATTTTTTATATTTTTCTGTTTCTTTATCTAAATCCTATAGGATGTAATAACATATATGAAGAAATACTATTAATAAGAATATTACAAACTTATTGTAGAACAACTTACATCTTGTGTTTGTTGTAATTTTTGTATTTGTTTCTTTAGACTAGGTATATCGTATTTGACAAATTTCATCAACATTTGTGCAGCTTCTGCGAGGTACATGTTATCTCTTTCATACAGAGACATAATCTCCTGCCAATCCTTCATTCTTTGTGACCCGTATCTTCCAAACATATTTTTAGTATTTGCTTCAGTTTCTTTCAAAATTTCAATTAATTTAAGACAGTCAAAGTAATTGATATCTATATGAATAAATATAAAATAATATATATGATCAAATAAAAGTACAAATATATGGAAGCCTAATGGTTACAAATATTTTAAACGTTGATCATTACCAATGGTAGACAATAAACATGCAACATCATCTCGGACTGGCATATCTTTTATGGCATCACTTATTTTTTCTCTAATAATAACAGCTTTTGAATACCAATCTTTTTTACAATGTCTTCTACTGATCAACCATTCCAACAATCTACTAATGTTAATATCTATTGGAATGTTTTGTTCCTGAAAGAGAAAATGTTGAAAACATTTTAAATATGATTGTGATAGATATTTTCTTTTCTTTTTTTTATTCAAATAACATTTATTTACTTACATTCATGATAAATAATATATATTAATTAATTATATTATCTATATATATATATAGTGTAACAGCTGTTATGGTTTATATCAACTTTGATTATGTGAAACAGCTGTCAGTACAGTTCAATTCGATCATGAACTACTAGCATAATGTAGAAGTTTTAAAACACCACCTGGTGAACAAGAAAGGAAAGTATTACAGATTCTATTCTTATTTTACTCGAGAATTATTTCATCTATATTATTAGTATTTCATGATAAGGAAAAAAACAATTATCTTGTAACAATTTTTTATTTAATTTATTTGAAAAAATTGAAGGTTTTATTTGGCGTAATTATTCTTTTTATGATTACTCGTAGATTTTTAACGTACAATACAATGTCAAAGCTTGTGGCATTGGATTTTGAAGTATTTGGAACAGTTCAAGGTATATTACGAAAAAATATTTACAAAATAATTGTGGAGATATTAAATTACCTTTTATTTATATTTTCCAGGTGTCTTCTTCAGAAAGGTATGATGAATTTTTGTTTAAACATCTCTGCATCTTATTTGCAGATTTAAATTAAATATTTCTTTACAAAGAAAATATACAACTAGCAATTTTTGTAAATGAAATTATAACGTACTAAATTATATAGGTTATAAGTTCTATTTATCTGTTTCTACATAAAAATGTATTGTTATATTATTTTTTAATGCAGTATACTCAACAAAAAGGTCAAGAGTTAGGTTTAAAAGGATGGTGTATGAATACGAGCAAAGGAACCGTAGTTGGACAATTGGAGGGTGAAGAATCTAGGGTGGAAGAAATGTATTTGCTTAGAATATTCATATTAGTTCATTGAGCGTTTTATTTATTAATTTATTGTTAATATTTTGTAGGAAACGTTGGTTGCAATATAAAGGAAGCCCTCAGTCATCTATTACCAAGGCAGTATTCCAGAATGAGAAAGAGATCACGCAACCATCCTTTAAAAGTTTTGACATCAGAAAATAATTGTTGAAAGTAGGAAATTAATATAGTTTAAAAATTATCTTATTAGTATATATGCTAATATTTATTTTGTCAATAATGCAATATTATTAATCCTTTTGCTTTAATCGCACAATGAGAAAAGTATTGTAAATAAAATAAGTACAATAACTGTTACTCAAAATTAACTTTAAGCATATAATTTTAGAAAATTTATAATCTAATTCTCAAGTGAAGATTAATATTGTCAAGAGACAATAAATATTAATTATAATACTGAATTACAATCATTATAACCGTATCTTATTATCTTTTAAAATAATTAATAAACAATCGATATTATGTTACTTCGATAGTTGACATTTTGTATGTTCAAATAGCGCGCGCCAATAGAAAACATAAAGAGATAACAAGGAAGATGGCGCAGTTGCATACGCATGTGCAGGAAATCAGTTGCGTAGTTGCTTTTCGTGTTTCCGCGGTCAGTCATCATCGGTCTCATGGACGTGCGATTACCGCTTTCGGATATGTGAGTGTTTCTCGTGCGCAAAGCGAAGAGGAGGAGGTGAGAGAGAGAGCGAGAGAGAAAAAGATAGAAAGAAGGAAAGAGAAAAAGAAAGAAAGAAAGGAAGAAAGAAAGAGAGTGAGTGAAAGATTATTCGATGGTTGTTCGGTTGTTCGGTTGTTGGAAGTATTGCGAAAGGAAGACACCTTGTATTGCCTATCATTTCTGCATCTGTTTGTTGTATCTACTTCCTAGGAGAGTTAATAACAGCAACAGCAGTAGCAGTAGGAGCAGCAACAACAGCGACCTTCGTGCTAGCTGAAAAGAGAAAGATTTGGCTATGCGCTCTGTGCAGATCGACTTGAAATCAGTATTTCTACCGATTCAAACTACAGTGGTGGTGAGGAAGAAGAAGACGATCAAGAAGGCGACCAAGACGACGATTACGACGATAACTATTCGTCCGTGATAACGGCAGACATTGTCGCGATTTAGATGCGCGATGGAGTCCATAAGAAAGTGGTTTTACAGGCCTAAGGTGAATACTTTTCCTATATACATATATTCTATTTTGTTTCTTTTATATTTAATTTTGTTTCTTGCATTAGACATGTTTTTCTCTCTCTCTCCTTGTTCATACTATATATACAGACCATCAGTCTGTCTCTGCAACTTGTATGCTTTTATAGCTGATCGAACGTATGCACTTTCTCATATATATATATAGGTGTGTATATAAGTAGTACGTTTGTTACTCTTCTCCATTTTACCACCTGCATACTATTACTACCTGTTTAACAAAATTTCTCACGTTTTCGAAGCCTACCTCTTTACCCTCCCCCTTTCTTTATCGTTCTCAATGAGAGATCAAATTTACCTCGTTATATCACTCTCATTTTTACTCCATCAACTTGTAAACATATTACAAACATATTCCCCACCTCTCCCATATTTTCCTCTCTTACTCTTTAATCTTTTTAAAAAAGATAAAAAGGAAGAAAATATGTAAAAAAGAAAAAAAAGAAAAATTAGAGTGTTCATTCTTAGTTTCTTTTTAGTTGTTTACATAAATCCGACAAACTATAGTCTTATCGCGAACGTGCATTGGATCACGTTCCAATACTTGTAGAAAGAAAGAAAGAAAAAAAGAGAGAGAGAGAGAGAGTGAGAGATAGATTTAGCTAGAAGAAGAAGAAACAAAAATCGAATTTTTGTCTATATTTTTGCGTGCGTAATCATTCGATCAAACTATAATAATCTATTCACAAAGGACATTTGTTTCAATTTGATTAATCATTGCAGATGTTTTTTTTTTTTTTTTGGCAAACAGATGTGTGACTCTTCATCAGGAAATATTCATTATTCTTATGTGCCAGTAGAGAGAAAAGATATTGTAAAAAAAATGATAGATAGTTTGAGAACATGTGTTGGTACAATTGTTCGAGTAAAAATGTAGGTTCGTTTTTTCTCTGTAAGGACG